GCATTACAGGGGCAGACCTGGCGGAAGAAGGTCGTGTGTGCGCCTAACTTCCGTCGTGTTTAACATAATTCAATATAATTAAATTTAAATTAATTATTCTCGTTCAAGAAAATCTACTGTCTAATTGAAAATTTACTGTCAAATTACGAATTATAATTCGCGGTTTGCACAATACTGTTTAGTGGCAAAATTGAAAATACTGAAGAGTGTCGATACTAATGTGGGGAAATTATATTCGCATTGGATTGATTTCGTGATTTGAAGATATATATCAGTGAAGAGCGGATAGATCAACTGGAACCTTGTGATAGATCAGCTGGAACTATCCTGTCTATCCATATATGATTATGTTTATTTGGGTCTTGGCGTGAATTCATAACAAGACCTAATAATTACATGCTTTTTTTTATAAAAAAATTGGCACCTAAATTTCCAGCTAAATAGTCTTGACTGTGCATTTAAGTCTGCACAAATTCATTCAAATATCGTCAGAAATAAGAAAATACACAACGCAATCTTTACAAAATTGTTAAGATTATCGTAAAAAATTATTTTTAACAAGACTGTTAGAAATGAAACAAGCACGTGCAGTTTCAGCTTTCGTTTTGTTTGCACTAGAGTGAAAAAGCTTGGCAGCGTCGAGATGGACGGTACGCGACGCTAATGTTACCGTGACGGAGACACTGCACGGCTCATTCTTCTGAGTGTGGACAATGCTAATGGAGGAGAAGCTAGCGTTTACTGCCTGCAAACTGTGGCAACACTGATGAATGGCAACACTAAAGAGTGGCAACACCAAAGAGTGGCAACGCTAAAGAGTGGCAACACTAAAAAGTGGCAACACTCAAAAGTGGCAACACTCAGGAGTGGCAATAATAAAGAGAATAATTTAAAGGACTGCCTAATTTTGCAGGAAATTTAATTTATTTAGACGAGATGTTACACCTGACACTTCAATTTTACTCTGAATATTATTCATTTCTATGAGATGTAACGCCTGATATTTAATTATCAAATTCTCATCGATGAATTTGATTAAAAATTAAAGGCAAGGTCCGTTTAACAAGCGGACACACAATATTGCTATGAGTAAACGAATGAAAGCTGAAGTCTTGCTTGAATAATAATTCATGAAGAAATTTTATAATGAACTTAGGTTTTTAGTATAAAACAGCGATGCTCATATTTTGATCCTCAGTCATGATAGATTCCGAACCAATCGCCACATGTGAACTAAATAAGTCATTTAGTTAATAGTATAAGAGATTTAACTTATCGCCGCCACATTGAGTCTTCGTCTCATTATCTGTTATTGTCAATGACATAGCTGTATTTTAATCTCACACCTCATCCGGCAAATATATTTAACTTTACTTGTGACTCATTTAATAATTTTGATTATAATTTAATATCACTGAACTCTACTTGAGTATACCCTCTCGATAACAAGCCAATTTAAACCACTTTGAGAATGGCAACACCGTAGAATGGCAACACCGTAGAATGGCAACACCGTAGAATGGCAACACTGAAGAGTGTCAATACTGAAGATTGACAATAATAATGAAAATTGAGAGGAATTTAAGGAACGGCTTAATTATACAGGAAATTCCATTTATGTAAACGAGATGTTACGCCTGTACCTGAAATTTATTTTAAATATTTTTAATTTCTATGAGATGTTACGTCTGACATTTAATTTCATCAATGAATATGATGACAAATTTACCTTAAGGCCCGTTGAACAAACGGACGAATATAAGCTGAATTTTTGCTTGAATTCACGAATAAATTTTTGTGATGAATTTGGGTTTGTAGTAGAAAAAAGTGATGTCCATATTTTGATTCTCAGTCATGATAGATTCTTAAACAATGGCCACACATGAAATTTATAAGTCATTTAGTTACTAGTATAAGAGGTTTTAACTTATCGCCTAAAAATTTGTGTGACGCTACATTGTCTCATGTCTGTCACAGTCCGCTATATTCTAATCTCATACCTCATCCTGCTAATATTTTCAACCTGTATCGTGACTCATTTAATAAGTTTAAATATAGTTTAGTATCACTACAGTCTACTTGAGTACGCCCTCTCGATAACAAGCCAATTTAAACCACTTTGCGAAGTACAGAGTAGATCCGTTCCAGTGGTCATGTTTGTTTTTATATGGCCAACTGAAGCACCAATTTTCAAGCTCCGTTTCTTTACAGCGGAGATACAAATCATTATCATAACGTGATAATTATTCTTGCTTGGTTGGATCCGTAGACAGCGGTAATGATTCTTGGATTCGTAAACAACGGTTGGTTGTTTACGGGGCCCAACTTGTTTACAGGCGCAGTCATGTTCCCTTCTCGGCAGGTATGAAGGTAACTCACAAGATTTCGTATTAATAGTGTACAGCTCAATACGCTGCAAAATTTATGGAATTTATTTGGTATTTCTTCCTTAAGGTGGCAAACGTTCCAGATAAATTGGTGCTGGTCAAGGTTTATTTTATATGCTCTCATTCAGGAATATTATAAAGGAAGAAGACTGTATTTTTAATAGCTTTCAATGAAAGATCTTAGCGTGTTTTTCAATTCTGTTTTCAAGTCCGATAGAATCATATGGTGGTAAAAAATTATAAATTATGCTACTTAATGCGCAATGTATTCCTTGTACTAAAAGAATTGGAGAATTTACAAAATGAGTTTCCTCATTTATCAATGGTAAAATAATTATTTCTAACACACACAATAATAATATTACAAATATGGTTTGTGAATTTTAATTATAAGGATTAGTTTAACCCAAACGATTTCTCAATCCACAATATCTATTGATACTCTTCTTAGTTGATTGTTCAATGGGTAGAATGTGAGTGCAAGTAGATGACAGCTCGAGGAAACACGAGTCAGACGGCTGCCCTAGTGCCCAGTCTGCTTGGCTTGTTGGCAACCTACCATAAATTGTCGGGAGTTCAACCGTGGACATCTCCATGCCACGTAGACAACAGACATGCCGTGGACATTCCCATGCCACGTAGACAACAGACATGCCGTGGACATCTCCATGCCACGTAGACAACAGACATGCCGTGGACATCTCCATGCCACGTAGACAACAGACATGCCGTGGACATCTTCATGCCACGTAGACAACAGACATGCCGTGGACATCCCCATGCCACACAGACAACAGATATCAAATGCAACGTATTTTATTTGATACGCGTTGTTTTGAGGAATGCAAATTCACGTTTAAATCGCGAAATATTAGATTGGCATACAAACAAAATGATGACAATTACAGAAAAACCAACTTTGTTTAACTCCTGCATTCTTCTATGAATTATTTATCTCCTCGTATATTTCGTGTATCGAACTACTGAGACTCTTTTTTTTTCGGGAAAATCAATTAATGACATTACTGTACTTGGGCTCGAGAAAACATTACATACAAGTATAACTACAGTTAAAACTTCTGTCATTCAGAAAAGTGTAACAAATATTACGCTGAGAGTTGAGTTATTTTGCTGAACTCTTGCTTCAGTGTCGTAAAGTGAATTATATTACGAGTATTTAAAAAATCTTGAATGAAAATCTAGTTCTAGTTGGGCCATCTAATCTTACATGCGCAAATTAACAAAATTATTATAACCGATTCATGTTTCCTGTTAAAACTTGCAACGAAATTCCCTCAAGTGATTGAATTTATTGTGATTTATATTGCACACTTTTTAGTAGGGATGTCCAAATCATGGAACTCCCAAATTGGAAATGTGACTAATTTGTTATAGTCGCTCCTAAAAAATAGAAAATTCAGTCAGTTTCTTTATATCAAAAGAATAATATTTTTTAGATAAACTATCTTATCTTTATTACATAAACCTAGTTTGTCTTTGTCTATTGTTTATTTCGATTTTCGAAATATTTTGTCTATTTTTTCGAAAAATGTGTCGAAATATTTTTGTCTTTTTTTTGTATCTCATGTTTATTTCGATTTTGAAAGGTTTTCGTTTTTAATGTATGCATGTGTATTTTAATGTATGCATGTGTTTAATGTATGCCTATTTCTTCAGCGCCGACACTTCTATTCTATGTGAAGCACGACGCTGTAAATTCACGTATATTAGAACTGTTTGAGCTCATATCCATGTTACTTATCGCATCGGTATATTATCTGAACCTGAAAAACAATCGTTTAGTTTTAGGTATTTTCAAGTGTAGTACATACAATAAATGGGGGAGTAGTGTCGATGAAAACTCCTGCGTGATTTGATTTGAAAATCTGACAATTTTGAACTCAAACGTTCACATTCATAAATAACAATTAACTTAAAACCAGAAAATCGAATTAAAATTCCGTTAGATTAGGTCTGTCATAAATTAGTGCCACTTGAATATAAAAATTATGTACAGGATTCCGAATAGGGAGATTTGCGGATTTTGGAAGAACTGAAAATTAGTAAATGCGCTGCTAGGAGTGAACATTGGAAATGAAACGACCATTTCTTTTTACTATGAATTTCTCGATTTCGCCATTGCAACTTTTGAAAAAATCATCCTTCTAGATTCAAGTAGACTTTGATTTTCCGATCTCAAAATTTTTACTTTGATTTTCCGATCTCAAAATTTTCTATCTCTATTTTCTAATTGATATTATGTTCCACAATTCATAAATGCTATGAATGCTGAAAATGTTATTTTTAAAAGAAACTGAATTCACGTCCGGAAGAGCGTTTATACGCATGAATTCCTGATTTGTTTGAACTTGAATTTGAAATTTAGATCACAATACCCTATCAAAAATGTGTTTCATTCACTGTTTTAAATTAAAACGACATTTTTGTACCAAAAGAATAATAACAAATTAATTTTTTCTTCATATTAGTGGACAGCTCAAGATGCTCGTACTGCAGCATTCGCACTGCGCAGTGTCATCATGGATGAAGGGCGCATTATATAACATAATTGAATTGTTTGAAACTACTTAAGCAATTTGAAAGTAATTTATCGTAAAATATATTCAAGCTTATCATATACTCGTATCAATACAGCATATACATCAAACTCGTCATTTCATATGAAAATTCACAGTGTGGTATAAAAAAGCGAAAGATATTTACAAATGTTTCGATATGCTTTTCAGATGTAATCACTGGATTATTACTTGCATTGCTTGTTTCTTTACAAAATTCAATTCATTCTTAATTTTACGCTTGCAATAAATTCCACAAAAACAGGTTAATGACTTCCTCAATGGCGGGACATGAGTCATTGGAGTTACTACAAGCATATTTCGAGAGGATATCCAATAGTGCAGCTGCTAAGACAGTCCTCGGTGCTGTCCCAGCAGTACGACTAAATAGAAATGAGACCGTTGGAAGATACCTGGAAGCAATAAGAGACATACCTGAAGGTGAAATACTCATTTGGGAGGCGCCCTTGATCGTAACTCCTCCAGCTGGAGCAGGACCAACGTGTTTAAGGTGTTTGAAGAAACTGAGTAGTTCAAATGACCGAAGTGCATGCACGCAGTGTGGTGCCCCGGTTTGTAAGGAGAAATGTCGTGTCAATTACCACAGCGACGAAGAATGCTGTGCGTTGCAAAACGTCAACGCAAACCCATGGGATGAAAGCATGATACCTCTGTTGAATGCCGCTTTAACGCCTCTAAGGACATGGATGAAGATTAAAGAAGACGTAACCATTCGATCAATTTTCTTATCCCTAGAGAGTTTCGCTGAGAGACGGAGGACGATGCCAGTAGGTCGGTTCATTACTTCGAAGATCGTACCCCTGCTGCGAGATACGTTGGGACAAGCTGAAATAACTCCTGATTTTATACATCACTGCTGTGGAGTTTTCGACACGAATGCAATTAAAGTTAGAAATGCCGATGATGAACAGGGTCGAGCAGTGATGCCGTTCTCAGCCATGCTCATGCATGAATGTGTGCCTAATTGTGATCATTGGTTTGCTGAAGGGTACCATGTGGTAAGGGCATCCACGCCAATACCTAAGGGTACAGTTCTATCCATTAACTACACAAGCAGCATGCTGGGCACTCAATCCCGACAAAAACACTTGTCATTCACCAAACTGTTCAGATGCCAGTGCAAGCGGTGTTTGGACCCGACCGAGTTGGGCACACACATCAGCTCTGTTCGGTGTCGTGCTTGTAAGAAAGGTCTTCTGGTTCCGCAGAATCCCTTTAACCAAGAATCATCTGATAGGTCATGCACGCCGAACCACTCTGGCCAGGAACCATCTGACTGGTCATGCACCAAGTGTTGCACAAGGTTTTCTTCGGAGATGGTTAACACAATCTGCAGGGCTGGGTCTTTCACGTCTGAGTTGTCTACCCCCGAGGAGCTGGTAGACAGGATTGAGGACGTGCAGAGGATGGTCGGAGTACAGCACTACGGAGTTCTTCAGCTCCTGTTGACTCTTTTCAGAGCGATTATCAGGAAAACAGCTCAAGGTAAACAATTATCAATTGAGTTCGTGATGAAAAATTTAAGGTATTTGAAATTAAACCTTTCATCAACAGCAGCTGTCACAGGCGAGTGTAGTCTATCTTGCGCAAAATCCGGCAGCACATAGACTGATGCGAGCATTTAAATAAAAAATTTGAACATCATCACAGAAATTGTTAAAATTAGTATGGGTATATATTCTCTGCGTCTGCCAGCAACTTCTTAGTTCCTCTACTTCACTTCTTACACATAAATTTTTATTCAACTATATTTTCTTCTCTCAAGTTAAATGCGAAAATCAATACCAATATCAAGCTTATTCCCACGACTGATGTGCTAATAAAGGTGCATTTACACAGGACCAGTTATGTCTTTTCATTGCCATAGGAAGTTCTGTGATGGATAAAAAAGTTGCAATTTTTAGTGAAACAGAAGCAGCTTTCTGGCAGCCACTCCAACTAGCCACTATAAACGGTCAGTGATTATAGGGCTAGAGGCCTCGTGAAGAGGCGTACACGTAATGGCTTCTTCAGGGTTATTTTAATAAGTATAAACGGCCAGTAGCTGCTCACGTGACAAATTAACGGCTGCCGGATAGGCTGAAAATTAAAGCAATAATATTAATTTAGAATAACTCATCGATTGTACTTATTCTATGTAAATTTTAACGCCGCACAAAATCTTATAAATATTGAATCTATTTTATAAAATATATTGTAAGGTATTTTCATTCTCAAGTATAATAGCCTCACATAGGCTATTAAATGTTTCGTTCTAAATATTTATTCTCGATTAGAAATTATCACTTTCTTGATTTATGATATTTATGTGACTCATAATATTTTTTGAGATCTAAACCATTTTCACCCCACTTCTAACGTACTATTTTTTCCCATGGTCTACTTTAATTATTAATAGTATTGACGAATGTTATAAAATCAGTAATCAATGAGTTAAATCACAAAAAAATTTATTTATATAATGGTACAGGCGCTATGTTTTCTTGCAGCTTCCACTCATGAAGAGCTGTTGCAACTGTTGACTGCATCAGAGCACCTCTTGCCAGTTGCTCACATCCTCGAGCCAGGACTCACTCTTCTCACAGGTCTGTAGCTATCATCTTAGCTCTCATACCAAACAATGGCTGAGTCTGTAGCAGATATAAGGACTTTTTGCTTTGAAAATTCACCCCTGCGTTGTGGCCGAATCAATTGTCTGTAAATCATGCATGTAGAGGCAAACTTGGTCCTAATAGCGATTGCCCTCATGTGGGTCATCCTAACCCAGTTTGGCCTGGCATAGAGGTGTGTCACTGGCAGAACGTGTGCCACGGTAATGCAAATACAATTCACTAATATATATCTGAGTGTATAGGCGAGAGAAATTAGATCGTAGCTGAAAACATTGCAAATAACAATTGTTTTCAATTGTAAGATAATGATGAGAAATTGATTGATCCTGGGTAAAAAGAATGCACTTCACCGCTGATTAAGAGTAATTAGTGCATTCCCTATGTAAACAGAATGCACTTTGTCTCCCCTGATTATCCATAGACAGCGCAATATCACAATCGTATATAATAAGTCGTGTTTGACACCAGCAGCAGTAAAATTATTGTCTTCAGGTGAGCTATTACTGGGCAACCTCCAGGCCCGCGCGGAACTGAGCACGCGGCGGCTCCTGATTGGCTGCAGCAGCGAGCTAGCTTTGCTAGGCACCTCAGTTCCGCCCACCACTCCAGAGGTGAAGCTTAAACTTAAAATTTCCTGTTTTATATTCGCTCATATTTTGGGCAAGTTGATCAGTGTAAATTCAAAAACTTACCTGAAATGACTTTAGGTAGGCACTCTGTAAGGCTAAGCAAAGTAAAAAAAAATCCACCAGCTTTTCCGCACCGTTCCTGAACTCGCTAACTAATGAATGGTCATGAACTAATCCGTCAACTTGCACGTTGGAAATTTGTTAGGGTGAAATTCCATAAATCCGCCCATATTTGAATCAAATATATATATGAGTTAATTGTGTTGAGGGACCACCAGTTTCGAATGAACTGTTTACCGTTGTTCTTGCTCTCTCAGTATGAAATTAAACACAAAAAATTAATTAGAAAAAATTTCAATAGATTTTGGAAGAGTCATTTCAATTTCTAAGATTTTGGCATAAAAGAACGTTTGGAAAAGAAAGGTTTGGAAAAAAGAAAAGAATATCGGTTTCCTCTTTCAATGAATCAAAATGTTCAGTTCGTTACCATCACATTCGATTTTCCATTTAACTTTTTTCAATTCCTTTTTAAACATAAATCATCATATACCAAAAGGATTAGACGATGTGTAGATAATTTCATGTGTCCGTCCTTTTCGCTGCTCTGGAATTTTTCGGCTCTTTTATGCAATGTTTGTAAAAAAAATCCAATCCATGATCGATTTTTGTTACTCCATTGCTTCTACGTCTCCTTTAGTCTTACAATCTCCTTGCACGCAGCGTTTTTCTTTATATTATGGCTCGTAAAGTTCTATTTCATTTTAACATTCAACTTTCTCTAGAGCACTTTCCACAAAACTCCAGCTTCTTCCATCCACAGCTGGTGCAAAAGAGGCTGGATAAGTGCAAGCGTATCCACCAGTTCCACCCAATGCTCCGGGAGGTGGTGAAGGTAGCACATGACTTCGCTGCACCAACCGACCTCAGCAACGGCACTTCATAGACTTCAAGAAACTTTGGGGAATATTAATTCTAAATATTTTGTTGCAATCTTGAAATCGGGAATATAGAAAATTCTGACGTCATCGTTCCTACTAAAGCGATCTGATCGATCTCCGTTAGCTCAGATCTATAATTTCCTCAAGACTGAGACAATCGTTCCTACTTCGAGAAATTGTGCTTTAAATGCCAACGCTTCTTACGAGGCAATTGTTCTGTTAATGGAGATATTTTCTTCCAGGATGATTGTTCCCATTATTTGCCACTGGTCCAAGAAAAGAAATGTGATTAGTGTATGATTTCTTTTTGTGTAGGGTAATATCAATTATAAATGCTTGCCCCCGCGAAGTAATGGGTTCATTTCACTCTTATTGGTCGGTAGGATCTTTTCTCATCGTTCCATGGAACTTATTGCAGTCAATAGTCGCTGCACTGCAGCTTTTTGGCAAAAATATTTCACATTTATACGTGCTTAATTTGTGTTTCAATCTTTCATTGATTTAATTGTAAAATTACCTCATATTGCTTCAATTTTTATTCTATTCTGTAATATAAATTAAAGTAATCTTGTCTGTACTGATCCTTTCATAATCCGATCCAGTGCCAACTTGTCTCGCTGGTTTTTATCCCTCACGATAATTACGATTCCCACTCATCACATTAATATTTATTCCATTGTTACGTTAAAATCCCACGTATTTTGCCGATACCGGCTGAGGGGAAGTAGCTGTGCAACAAGTGGACGACCCTCGGGGCAGGAATTCTTGTCTTTTCCCCTCGACGCTGAAGCCAAAAACTCGCTTGTTTTTCTGCCTGGCGAGGGCAGCGGTGCGATCACTTCTCCGCCAGGCATCGTCCAGAGCAACGACTGCTGGCGGGACGGCGGACCAAAACATGATTACATTACAATTGTAATCGTTATTACAATAATAATAGTTATTAAAATTATAATTATTGGTATAAATAAAATCAATAATATAATTAACAAGTTATTCAAAAATTTGCATGAACGATTTTAGTAAGCCTTGTGAGTTTTAAAGCCAAAATCAATCGAAACCAAATCGTGAACACCGCGAGGAACAATATTTCATAAAATTTCAGTATTTATCAGAACTCTGCTAATAACATATCGTAGTAGGGCAACTAAAAAAGTGAAATGGCTAATAGCCGAGTTTATGGGGCGAGAAATCGCAGAAAATATGCGACCGATTTGGAGACTGAATGAACATGAGACCGCGCAATATAGCCCCAGCCGACCGCCCTCGATCTCCTCGCCCCTTGGAGGTTGCCTGTAAAGATCGCGATAAATACTGAATAGCGTGAGATATGATTATTCGGGTTTCAAAGTAAAATTTATTTTTTATGTGCATCAAAATTCAAATCTCTCATGTAGGCAAATCAGTGTAGATTCAAGACATTAGACTTAGGCTATTTAGAACATTCAAATTGAATTGGCCAAAGATCAGGAAGTAAGAGGCCAACTGTTTCCTCGTACCTTGATTTGCTGATGATGTCGAGGTATGATTAGCCTATTAGGGCCTCCAAGCAGTCGAATTAGGGACCGCATCCACCTGAAGTGCTCCGCCAGACCGTCAGAGTCCCGTGAAAGCGAGTGTATAACAGGTGAAGTTGTGTGGTAGACAAGCGTATATAATGCTCAGGGCCAGCAGACCATTAGATGGTCTGATCTTGGAAGACGAAAGGGGACCCGAGCAGACCATTTGATTTCCTTCTTAAGATGAAAAATTAAAGGAGACAGGAACAAATAATTGGCCCCAAGGAATATAGATTGAATTGAAAAATCACAATGTTACAATGTAAGATTGTGCAATAATTATAATCGTTACTACAAAGATAATCATCAGTGAAATTACCAGCATTATTGAAATTGCATATAATCTTAGAGCTAGATTCATTACTACAATTGCAGTCACGAAATTGAAATTGCAATCAATTATACTCTTACAATTCAAATCCATACGCAATAAAAAAGTGGGTAGGTCCATCTGGAGAGGGGACAAGAGAAAAATGTCCCTATAGGAAGAGGTCCCTCATTGGATGAGGTCCCCCATAGAAAGAGGTCGCGATGTTCCTGATGTCATGAACATGCATGGGATGCGTGATGTTCCTGATATCATCTACCGTTCTTGTAACGCAATCAGTAGCTGCTTAAGCCTGATACATTACTGATATGCCTTTATGACTGACATGCAAGATTCATAAAGGACAAAACAACCACCTTATACACACTGCCTGATAATTAATCACTCATGAAATAATATATCATTTATCTTTCCAGGTAATCTACTGTTGGCCACATTAAATAACACGTGCAGGACGCTTCTTCAATTTTGTCCCATTCAAAAATCCTGGAAGCCTTCTTAAGAGATTAAATATATAGACAAATGAAACTTAAATTTGTTTTCGAAATAACTCGGCACGTAACCGACCGTTCAATATGTGACCAAATGACATCGCACCGACCAACCAAATGACATCTCACCGACCAGTCAATGTGACCAAACTCACCGACCAGTCAATGTGACCAAATGACATCTTACCGACCAGTCAATGTGACCAAATAACATCTCACCGACCATTTAATGTGACCAAATAACATCTCACCGACCATTTAATGCGACCAATTAACATATCACCGACCGATATATCCGCATAAATAACGAATACCCATTAAATTTCGATGCGACGAACATCAATTGCTATTTGTTAATGTGTCTAAAACCAATTCTCACTTATGATATCTGTTCATCATGAAACAGTTCTTTATCTATATAGTTGCGAACATTTTTAAACCTAACAGTTTAATTTCGTCAATCATGCTTAACTTCTACGCCAACCTACAATCCGTCATCAATTTTATTGTATATATATTGCTTGAATTCGCTACCTCATTACATCTCATGCATGCACTTCTTCAATTAATGTTCATTCGCCTGATTATTTTTCCTTTTAAAAACAGTGGATATAAGATAATAAAAAATTTTCATTTTTAAAACCGCTTCGATGCCACCGGAGCTCTGATTTTAATCGGAACAGAGCAGCCAGAGATTATATCACGGCTAACAGGACGTTAACAGAGCAGCCAGAGATTATACCACGGCTAACAGGACGTTAACAGAGCAGCCAGAGATTATATCGCGGCTAACAGGACATTAACAGAGCAGCCAGAGATTATATCATGGATATTTATTTTATATTACCTCCATGAGCCTGATAGCCAATCTGATAATTACTCTGTTGTATATTTTTTCAACGGATTCGTTAGGAACCTCTCTCTGTTAACTATTCTGTTTATTTCTCTCTTAATGCAATTCACCTCATGATACTTTTTGTAAGTAAATATGAGACGATAATGTTTAGATAGGTAAATAACGATCAGTCGGAGCTGCAGGCAATGTATAAGGATCGCTTATTGATATGCTTATAACTGAACACAAAAATATTGAATTTGTTGACTTGAAATTGTTTCATGGAAAACATTGTCTGCTGGGCGCCGAATTCATTTCATTTATTCTCTACCGCATCGAGAAATTAGGATGCGATAGACTGAAAGTTTGTAGATTAGAACACCATGTAAAATGAATCGCTTTCCCGACCGTTGCAAAAAATCACGAATTGCGATGAATTTGGGATGCTGAATGCATATTGATCATAAAGTATAAATTACCATCAATTACCCTGTCGCAGTTTCAGTTTTATTCAGTTGGTAAACAATATATATTACCAGCTGTATAGGTCATGGAAAAAGATGCGCGGAAGTCAAGTTCGGAGATTTTGCAGCCGAAAGCATCGGTCGCCGCGCGAGTCCAGCGGTCGGTATTCAGGCAAAGGCTGGAGAAGCTCGCAAGTTGGAGGTCCATTGGAAGCAGGTTTTAAAGTTGACGTGTCATTTGAGGAGGCACACATTCAGACCAAGCTTGATCCTTGCTTCCTTCTCTTTTTGGGGCGGTGTTGGGAACAAAGATATTATCCTGATGGTAGTCCTCAGAAACGATAAACGTTCGATTCCGTTCATCGCGCAGCAATATTCAGAGACAAAAAGATATTAAGAAATTCAGAAGCCCAATTTGCATGATCCGACATTAATGCGCGTTATTAGAGTGGCATTGCCAGGGTTTGTGAGAAAACGACTACCAATTCACCGGTAAATGTCGACAGAGATGACGCGTTAAATTGGTTATGCGTGCTAGGGTATGCACACTTTGTCAATATCATTTTAACAGTTATGAAAATGAATCTTCCTGTAATATGAGATTGAAATTTTTTAGTTGATATCTCTTATATCAACTAATTATATGAGCAAGGGAAAAGAATGAGTAACCATATACCTTAGCCCACATGAAATGACGCATCATGAATGAGTGTACCTCGAAGTTCATTAATCATTAGCAGGATATAGCGGAATGCTGACATCTGTCTATCCTGTCAGCTACTGGTGTCTGACAGCCGAAGATTATACGGTTATTGCAAGTTTAGAATTCTGCGCTGCTCTACATGACGTCATAATTGTACAGCCCTACTCGTAGCATTACAGAGCAGCAGCATTGCAGCCTCTGGAGCAGCATTATACAAACGAACGACATTTCTCTGCACTCCGAGCAGCATTACAGAACATCATTTTTCATCACCATTCGCAGCATTACAGGATAGCATTTGACATCGTCCCGCGCAGCAATACACGGGTAAGATTTGTCATCCCTAGGTGCAGCAATACACGGGTAAGATTTGTCATCCCGCGCAGCAATACACGGGTAAGATTTGTCATCCCCCGGTGCAGCAACACATGGGTAACATTTGTCATCCCCCGATGCAGCAATACACGGGTTAGATTTGTCATCCCGCGCAGCAATACACGGGTAAGATTTGTCATCCCCCGGTGCAGCAATACACGGGTAACATTTGTCATCCCGCGCAGCAATACACGGGTAACATTTTTCATCATCCCGCGCAGCAATACATGCACGGGCAACATTTGTCATCCCGTGCAGCAATACACGGGCAACATTTGTCATCCCGCGCAGCAATACACGGGCAACATTTGTCATCCCGCGCAGCAATACACGGGCAACATTTGTCATCTTGCGCAGCAATACACGGGCAACATTTTTCGAGAAGGCGTGCGGGAAACTAGGGCCGTGGCGAGGAGAGTGGGCGTGTGACGTCGGCTCGTCCCTTAGCGACACTTGCTTATGGATCTTTTGCACTCACAGATTCCGGTCTCGGGACAACACCGGCGATGCTCTTAAAGATGAGCTGCCTGCAGCCAACCCCGTACAACCTACTCACTCAAGTCAAGACTTTGCAGCCTTCATCGCATTATACGTGCACGTGGTCACCCTACGTGCACTTGATCGCCCTACGTGCACGTGATCGCCCTACGTGCACGTGATCGCCCTACGTGCACGTGATCGCCCTACGTGCACGTGATCATTCTTCGTGCCCACCATGTGCCCAGCGTCGTGTGTCTGGTCCAGCGCATTAAAAAATTCGTGCGTTTGCCTACGGTGCGAAAAAAGCAAGTTTTACCTGAATTTTAGTGTCCTTTAAAACCACCGGTTGGATGACGTATATTTGCTGACTCCAATTAATAA